ACATTTAAGCAAAAGTAAATTAAATAATAAAAGGGCGGTTATCGCCGCAGTTAACGGGGATAATCTGCTGGACTACCAAGAGAAGGTTTACCTTGCTTTTCAAGAGACTTTGGATTATAAAATATCCACTTCCGATTATTCAAAAGGTTTATTAGATTTACGAGAATTATACGATTTAGAACTAGCGAAAGTCCAGGCAATGAAAGAAATTAAAGCGGCGTTAGCGACCTCCCGCGAAGCGGAAGTCGCAGTCTACTGGGAAAAAATTATTGGGCAGATTAGAGTTCAAAACACTTTGAAAGAAATAACCAAGGAAAAAGAGGGCATAATTTCAACCATAAACTTGGGCAAAATTACCGAAACCTTCGTGATCGACAGCGGAGTAATTAAATTCTATGATAAAGACAAACCTTATTACGAATTTACTAATTTCGCCCCCAACTTTCCCATCAACTTCCCAAGATTACCCGGCTTCGAAAATTTAGCGGGCGAGTGAAAGACCAGCGAAGCCTTATTTCAAGCCTTCGGATTTTTTGATAATGAGGAAAAAGTAGCAGCATTTAGAAATTGCCCAACTGCTCGGGACGCCTTTAGCTTAAAAGGAACTTTTGGAAAACCAATTCGAGGTTGGCATGGCGATTGAGCCAGGGAAGGGGTAGATTCTGAAAAAATAAAGGCTATGTTCCAAGTTATCCAGCGGAAAGTTGAACAATATCCAACTCTGGAAAAAAAGTTATTAGACACCGGATACCAAATATTAATTGAAGATACTAAAAACAGCCCCCACGCAGATAAAGACGACTGCTGAGGCAATGCGACCTTGTATGAACGGGATGCGAAAGGCCAAAAAACGGAGCCGACAACCTCCCCTGGAAAAAATTGACTAGGGAGAATTTGAATGGCTCGCCGTTCCCTTTCAAGACTAGAAAAAGACTTCAAACTGTCGCCAGAATTAAAAGTAGACTTAACCGAAAAAATACTCGCCGCCACCGAAAATTACTGAGAAGAAGAAGTTAATCCCGGTCGCATTAGTAGTAAATTAAAAGCAATCGAAACCGAAATTAAAATTGAGGCCGCATTAACTAATTTAAACCACAAAATCCAGCAATTAAAATATCAATCAGAAGCATTTGAAAAATGATTAAGTGAACATCATGAGAAAGACAATTTAACTGCGGAAACTAAAAATCGTATGATTTCCCTAATTAGAGAAGGAAAAACTCCCGAATTGAAAACTACAATCCTTTTAGGCGAAGATAAAGTGTTAGAAGAGTGAATAAACGAGATGAATAACTCTGCGGAAAATAAGCGAATTGAACCTCTTAGCAAATATAGCCGAGAACTTTTGTTTGATAGATGAAAAGCCTTAAAAAATGCTCTTGCTTTGCCAGATGATAGTAGTGATAAAGGAGGTTGAATTTCAGTGGCGGAAAACAATTTAAATCCCCAGCAAAAATGGAATAATAGTGAGGAAGAATATGCTCCTTATTGAGCAACAAGCGTGAATGAAAAATTCAAAAATGACTTCAAAGAAAAAAAATTTGGAATTATGAACGAGGGAATTTTTAAACTGAAAGGAGGAGAATGGGGAGCGATTAATTTTAACACGAAAAAAGTTAGAGATTTGTTTGGTCAATACCATTTTGAATTAAGTGAAAGAGAAAGGGTAGACAAAATTTTGCTCAGCAAACTTTTACAAAGAGAAATCTTAAAAAAATATTTTGTTAAATCCTTTACTGATAAAGAAATAATTGAATTAAAACCCGACAGTTGGGAAGCAAGATTATTGGCGGTGAAAGCAGAAATAATGCGGGAGTGAGGGAAAATTGAAAATGAAGAAATTAAAATCATTAGTGGGGGAAAAGTTAGGCAAGTTAAAATTTTTGATTACGGTCAAGTGTGAATTCCCCGGATTTTCAAGGCGGTTTTAGGTGAACAGGGTTTTGGGGATGATTGAAACCCAGTATTCGAGGAGCAAGCAGAAATAATTAGCGAGGAGTTGTTTAGTTATTTTGACCTCACGGAATTAAAGGATGAAGAAAGGGAGAAATTAAAAACCGAAAAAAAAGACCAAATTAAAACCATCCTCCGAGATTTTTGAATATTTAATAATTTTGTGGCGGGAGCCGGTGACTATCAAGTTAGTTTTGAGAAAGGACTTGACAAAGCCATAGCAGACCAGAAACTTAAAGAATTATTTAAAGAATACGAAGAAGACCAATTGGCAACTTTCATTTCTTTCCC